CACATGAACCAGAACAGCCTCATTGTACACAAGTTTGTGACCAACTTGTACTATCTGCACATCAAAAGGCCAGCCAATCATCGAGGGCACAGCTGGCGAATGGCACCGAAGGGGGGCGCCCATGGGGAGAGCATCCGGGTCCCGGTGCCTCCCACCATATGAAGAACACTGCACTCTATGGTCGCAATGCAGCTATGGCCATAGTAATTAGTATAATTAGCGGGAATGTAAATTATCAAGATGTTTGGAAAGAGGAGTCTGGATGCATAAAAATGGGAGTGGCTTGGTGTTGATGCTGAGAAGTTCCTGAAAGACAGACACACTCCCAAGAGTCTTGGCAGGAAAAGCTGCCATTTCCATATTAAGGCTTGAGAAGCCTGACGTGCCTCAAAGCAAGAGAACCAAGGGGTGTATATGAGATTTCTGGAAATAAATTTAGTTGAAATTGTACAGGCTTCTGTTAACACCTTTCCTTTCAAAAGTGTTAGATTTTTTTAAGTAACAAAAAGACAGCCAAAAAAGAAACTTAGGAAAACTAAATTTGGTATCACAGAAGAAAAAAATTAAAGTTTTAAAAACTGGGATTAAAAAAAAAATAACTCTGCATCTTTAGAAGTTAACCCAAAAAGATCAGTATCCACAAAAGTGATAGGTGGAAATTCCCAAGGTGAAGGGAAATGGCACAGGAGGGCTGACAGGCTCAGGCCCGGAGCTGTGCCACTGCAGCCGGGCACACTCAGCTCAGAGCCGTTCCTGCAGCCGGGCACACTCTGCTCAGAGCCGTTCCTGCAGCCGGGCACATTCTGCTCAGAGCCGATCCTGCAGCCGGGCACACCTCTGCTCAGAGCCGTTCCTGCAGCCGGGCACACTCTGCTCAGAGCCGTTCCTGAAGCCGGGCACACCTCTGCTTAGAGCCGTTCCTGAAGCACAGCCTCACGAATTTCCCGCTTGTTTGAATTATGGGCTCATCTTGACTTTCTCATGTATGGTGTACCAGTGGGCCCCAATACCACGCACATGCGTGCTGTCCTCAAAGCACTTTGTAGAGGAGGTTACTGTGCAAAGTGCTTTGTGACCAGACTGGCTTTCAAAGCCTGACTTTGCCACCATTGTGGCTTTGTCAAAGGCACTCACAGCCATAGACAGAGACAGTTCTGCTAGTGATAAAAACAAAAGTCATGCTGGATTTCTTGTTCCGGATTCGAGTTTTCTCAATCAATTCACAGGCACAATCTTCTGGCAAGACAAGACGCTGACCATTAGTGCTTCCGGCGAGCTCTGGATGAATCTCTTTGCTCAAGGCTAGCTCTTTACAGTGCTGAGCCCAGCTCAGATCTTTCACAGGCCTCCTTGCCAACACACTTCCGGCACCTCCTACTCTAGCGCTGTTCAGTGAGGAGGAGGTTTACTGTTGTCTCTGGGTGTGTGCACTTTGTTGTTGAGGTGTTAGTATGGTGACTTCTGGTTATTGCTATCTATAAATAACAGAAAAAAATCATGTATTTGCATTTCAGGGGGTCTGGCTGGTAGGTTCATTATTGTCTGTGTGGACCTTTCAATTTACATTCACTAGACAAACATGTTCTTAACCAAGAGTCAAGTAAGCCTTACAGTTCTGGTTGGGTATGGCTCAGTGGTTGAGTGTTCTGTCTTCAATCTCCAGTACCATGGAAGAGAGAAGAAGAAATGAGGGGGGGGGAGGTAAGGAGGGAGGGGCGAAGAAACAGAGATGGAAAAAAAGAGGAGGACACAGAAAAAAAGAATTCAATAACAGAGGGAGAATAGGCTGGGCAACAAAAAGTGGTTATGCTCATTCCTCAAGTTGAAAGGTCAAGGATTTGCAGAACTTTCTAGAGGCTAAAGCAAGGCCAGTAAAATCTGAGTTCTGTCCAAAACAACAGAATATTCGTTGTCTCTAATGGAAGCTTTGCAGACTCAAAATTATTGAATACTTTTCGGGTCTCACTAGACTTTTGCAAAAGATACTGCTACCTTCCTTGAACAATGACATCATGAAAGCCAGGGCCTACCACCGTGGAGGAAGGTGAGTCATCCAGACTGCGGGAAGAGGGAGCTAACCTGTTCCTTTCAAATTCCATCACAAAACCTTCAAGGTCTCATGAGTGTTTGGTACAAGCTACAGTGGATAAAATCCTGACTTCCAGGTTGTTGCTCTGTTACTCAGTTATGCAAGACCAGGGGTAGACCTGTCCCCAGGAGTGAGCAGCAGACTTGGTCCTGGGAGGCTGTGGCCAGCAATACTGTGTGGTGACTGGGTCTTTAGTGGGGTCTCTGGTTTCTCCTTCCAAGTTTTCGGTTTCAAATACGTGCACAGAAATCAGTTTACATCTGTATTAGTTTATACGACTTATAAAAATAGCAGCAATTCTTTACCACAAAGAGGTATGGAAGAGCTGACTTAAACATGCTTAAGGGTAGTTACCGCCTTCCAAAAGAACCCTAGCCCTGGTTTTAAGAACATGTGTCACTCACTGAAGTCTTTCCAGGAGGAATTACGTACATGTTTGCCACCATTTGATTTGAAACAGGCTGCCATGTAGCTCAGGTTGGGTTTGAACTCCTCTTTTGAGCTAGGGTTTCTCTGTGTAGCCCTGGCTATCCTGGAACTCACTCTGTAGACCAGGCTGGCCTCAGACTCACAGAGTTCTGCCTGCCTCTGCCTCCTGAGTGCTGGGATTCCAGAAGGTATTACCACATCTGGTCACGTTTCCGATTTTTAAGGTGGTAACTCAATTCTGTCATTTTAGGAAAGTAATCTAACATAATGACTTTTGAGGAAGATCTTTCTTACCTACAATTTTATGAGCTGTGCTCCTTAGCACAAAGATCTCCTAATTAGTCTTTATAATGTTACTGGAAGCCTCTAACGGTTTTGTAGTTCCTGTCTTAACCTTCCAGTTGTCTGTAAACGTCTGCTTAGTCTGATCAGTGCAGGATCAGTGACCATCAGAGCTATCTCAAGCTGCTTAATTAATTATTTATAAATTTTCCTAAGGAAACACACTTGTGCTGTCTTTAGCACATTGTAACTATATTAATTCCTTAACTGAACAAATATGCTAAAAGAAAACAAATTGTTCTATTGAGTCTTTAGTAACTAAATTCTTCACTTTTTGGATGAAGATTTGGAACTTGAAACACAGAAAAGACGAAAGCTTGAATTACAACAAAGGAGCTTACGTTCACTGACCAGAAATCTGTCCTTCTGTACCTTCTCCCAGTGTTGACTGTGCCGAGCACACCAAGTCCCGCACTCTGCTAGCTAACCGCCAGGGAGTTACTTTATGAGCATCACTCAGGAGCCAAGTGTGGTGGCAATAAAATGTGAGAATAGGACACTTTAATCAGAATGGATAGACGTGACGCTTACAGTCCCCTCCGGGCCTCGGAGTTAGTTAACAGTCCTCAGCGAGCGTCCGGTGGGACTGAACACATCAGCAACATCAATGGAAGAATGGTCACAGCAGCACAGTGCAGCTAGAAAACTGTTCTTTTTCACATTTCACTGAAGAAAATACCAAAGTGTTTTGACAAATATCAAGGCAGGAAAAGCAGCATCAGCTGGACATGGATTACAAATGTGATGTGCAAGGTCCAGGACATTCAGCCTTCTGAGAAAAGCCACTTTGAAAGCTCCTTAGGTCATGGGTTTGGCCATATTATGGGGTGTCTCCTCCTCATTAAAACAAAGACAAGGTAAAAAGATGCTCTCCATAAGAGAACTATAATGTCACTTCAGTATCTTTTAATTACCCATCTACACAAATGACCTTAGATCAAGCACAGGCAAATAGAAGTCGTAGTAACATTTACATCGAGTGTAAGGTTTAAAAAAATAATACAAAGTCCATTCACAGTGCACATGAAGACATGGTTAAGTGTAAATATTTAGATATCCAATAGCCATGATTGTTTAGAAGGTAAGCATATTTCCAAGCACATTTCCATTTGCTACAGCAACGACAGTCTACCATACACCAGCGTAGAGGATGGAGATACGCCAGCACCGTGATCTCATTACTGCAAAGAAAAAGATACCATGTTTCTTTTTTATCAGATAAATACATCTGAAATAAATACAAAATTAACTAGAAATTTGTCCATTAAGTCTACACTCTTAATTGTATGATTTTTATTTTGACACAGGGCCTCCCTGCATAGCTCTGGATTGCCTTTAACTCATGATAGTCCTGCTTCTGCCACTTGAGGGCTGGGATTATTGCTGTGTGCCACCAGAATCCTCACGTGACATTCCAAAATTGCAGCGAGGAAGTCCCACCTGTTGTGCCCCCTGTGCACATTCACACTGTGGATTCCATTGGGTACCAGGTAATGTGTGAGAGTCCACTGAGTATGGCCTAGGAAATGGGGCTAATACGAGAGAGTAGGAAGAAGACCCCCAAAAGCTTGGCTGCTGCCGTCCTCTGGTTCATGTTGTTATAGCCGAATCCCACAATTCATTTTGCTTATCATCTACTAAAAATCCCTTTGTTCTCCAAATAGAATTTTGTACACTCCATTCTCTGCAAATCCAGATGTGAGAAACAAATGATTTCTGGTCCAGTTAGACTTTACCTTCTGTAGATCAAGCACCTGAACTACAGACTTGACATACAGGGCCGACAGCTGGACTGAACTTTATCTCCTGTCTACAGCTTCCACATCTGACAAATACCAGCCTTTGAGGGGTGTGGAAAGACATGGTTAGCAGGAAACCAGGTTAAAATAACCCATGGGGACATGAGGAATGACAGGGATTTTTGGTTGAAGTTACAAATATTGACTCCCACAAAGAAATAAAAGTTCTCTTCCATGAAAAGAAAATTATACAAAGGAATATGATGCCTAACATCAGCTTTTCCTTAGGAGAAAACTACAGCTCTCCCCTGCTGGCCTTAGGCAGGGCTTCCACCCAGTTAGATTAGTAGGGCTTAGGGGACCCTTTCCTAACCCGTGTGTCAATCAGCACAGGGCTCTACCTAGCTTCTGTTCAGCACTGTCCCACACCCACGGGACACAAGGCACCGGAGCACTCGCATCCTAGGAAACGACGGATGCTGCTTTTCCTGGTGAGGATAGTACCTAAATTTCTTATCTCCTAATTTAAATAAAATGCGTACCGAATTTATAGTTTCTGAAATATTTTGCCTTCCATACATACATATACATATATATGTGTGTGTGTGTGTGTGTGTGTGTATATATATATATATATATATATATATATATATATATATAGTATGTGTGTGGTAGAGAATCCTTACAAAAAACAATTCCAAGAAAACTTTTTATAAAATTAACTGTGAAATAAAAACTGCAACCTGCAACACTGGGCATTTTTACCAGCACAGTAAAGCCTTAATTAAAAAAAAAAAAGTAGTAGATGAAAGGGACGTTTGAGTAAAATATGGCGCATTTGTTTGCTTTGCAGTCTCTTAACCAATACAATTCCAAATAAAGCACATGAAAATATTGGGAGGGTTGCCACTGTAACTGCAATGAATTAAATGGAATTCTCAGCTTTAAGGGGGTGGGTCACCATGCTCCCACTTGTTAGAATAATTTCATTTCAAACAGTGCCTGAAGGCTGTGCGGCAGCCTGCCCCGATGTCCACTTCAGTGTCTGACAGCTCTAAGTGAAACTCGTCGGCTGATTACCTTGACTCTTCTCCATCTTGAGTCATACTCCAATGGCTGTCAACAGGAGAGACCCCACTACTATCACCAGAAAGCCTGATATAAAGCACACAATATTCAAAAGAATTCATTGTAAATGGATACACAGACTGTAAGAAGAGCAACCGTGTAAGCTGCTACTACTGGCTGCCAACGCGAGTTTCTACACTGGCAACGGAAGGCTGATGTTTTTGTAACTGAGTACACACTGAACCGTCCAACACGAGTTACCCTGTCTGAAGTATCCTTTGGTAAACCAGCTTCCTTTCATGGGGTGAACATAAACTGGATTATTATAGTCAGACAATCCTAGATACAGAACACTGCAGACAGATGACGGCTTAGCAGGCAACTATCACCATATACATAATTGATGCCTTTTAAAAAATTACCATAAGTTTTATTCCAAAACAACTACCATTATATGTCTGAAGACATCCATAATGAATCTCACTGGTGCCACCACAAATAAGACTTGAGAGATAACTTCCTTATTTTTGAGGGCTAAGCCTACTGGCCAGTTTGTCACGTCAGTACAAGCACATAGACGGGGAATGCTGTCTTTACTGTTCTTCTGCTCAAAAGGCAGCTGGGGGTGGAGGTGCCTGTAACACACATAGGTTAATTTCACCCTATGACTTTATTTTGCACTGAAAAGGCAGAACAGGAGAAAGGAGGCAGGACAAAAGACTGAAGTTTTCATTCTTCCAATGTATGCAGAGGTGATTATGAGCAGATTCTGTGAAAATAAACCCATTTGATAAACTCAGATTTGGCAAGACAAATGAAAAGACTTAAGCAACTTAATCATAGCTTGACTAAAGAGTAAAACTTAACTGTTCAAATCTGCTAGATTTATTAAAATAATACAATTGCAGCACAATTTTACCAAGCATATTATGTAAACAAACATCTAGTAGAATTCTTTTCTGTCCTAACATTTATTGTGTGTATGTGTTCTACAAAGCATGGGTGTGAAAGCCAGGGGACAGCAGGACTCCACTCTCCGCTTCTATCTGCGGGTGGGCATCGAACTCAGGTAGTCGGGCTTGATGGCAAGCTCCTTTACCTGCTGACCCGCCTTGTCAGCCCCAGAATCCGTTTCTTTCTTTTTCTTCTTTTGAGATAGGATTTCTCTCATGTAGCCCAGGCTGGCCTGGAACTAACTCACAGAGAAGATTCTGTTTCTCCTTCCGGAGTGTGCCACTACACCCACATTCTAGAATTCGTTCTTAAAACAGAACTAGAACACAGCAAAGCAAAACTGCTGCCCTGAGGCATGCCACACAAGTTGGCATCAAGGGCGAATACAGTCTGCTTCTGGTGGAGCGCCCGTGGAATTGACAGGGAAGCGTTGTACACTGAATTGTTTAACACACATGACTACATACTGTGAGCACGAGGGTAAGAAAAAGACAAGATCAACTAAATCTTCAAGTTCAATGTAGAGAACACGTCACCTACATGTTAGAAAATCAACATTAAATACTTTTATTAACCTTGGTTCTGTCCAAAATGGGTTCTAAGAGAATAGTTTTAGTTTAGCCAGAAGGTAATGAAAAGACTTAAAGGCCCAATCCAAAGGAAGCTGGCTCTGAAAGCCATGCTATCAAAAGGATGACATCACAGAAAACAGGCCAGATGCTGTCATGCAGAACCAAGAATTATTAGGAGAGGCTCTAAGTCCATGCTTTGTGCCCAGTGCGCCCCAGTCTCAGAATTACTCACTTAGTACAGTCTACTTCTCCTGGTGAAGAGCTTCAATGAAAGCATCAAGCTTTTCTTGAATTTCTCTAACTTTCTCTATGGAGATAAAAAGAGATAAACACATTTACTTTTCAAAGGCAGCATACATTAGAGAGACTCCTTATCATTAAATCATCTACAAAACTTCTTTAGCTATTTGAGGAAAAGAGAGAAAATCATCCTCACTAAACTTCCTGTGGTCCATGTCCAAGTGGGTCAGAAGAGTCACAAGCAGCCTTTCGGGAAGCAAAGGAGGAGAAATGCTTGACAGACAGACCCCTTTGGGAAACTATTAAATAGAGCCGTGGACTCTAATGTGCCCGCCCACAGACGTGTTTTACTGCACTCAGATTCCTTGAAGCTCTACTGAAAAATGATAAGGTTGTTTTTAGGAATAAGCAGAAATGGTGGCTTATGCTGTAACCCAGCTCGTGGGAGGCTGGATGAGTGGAACCAGCCTGGGCTGCACTGGCAGACCCTACTATCTTAACAACCAACAAAACTGTCCCTCATCTGAAAAATGACCTTTAAAAATATAAAATAGCGGGTAAAGTTACCAGGAAGGTCGGGTAAAACACCACGGTAAGATGCATACATCAGTCATATTTCAAAATGCCAGGAAATAAAGGCAAAGGGAACTGGGAAATATTTTTAACTAGGTGTGAATGTGGAAAGTTAAAAAAAAATATATAAAGAACCACTGAAAGCAGATTTATATTTATTTGAATTTTTACTTTTTCATGTTAATGACTTCACGTAAGATCTATGATTTCTCTGTGCAGATATGTGAACTGTCCCCACGCATGCTACTGCTGCGGATTCAGTCACGCCTCCTGCCTTGGAATACCAGTTATACCACGCAGTGTGGAAACGCTTCCATCCCTTCCTCACAACTTAACACAGAAGTGGGAATTACCAGTGGATGGGAGCCAACGAGTTCAAGGCTAGTGACTTAGACATGAGCCTGGCATGTATTCTACTCTCTACTCACAGGAAAGATCATAGAAGGTGTCTTCAGAAGTCAACACTTATATCTTCTGTAATTAAACCATCTGTGTTGGAAGATACAAATTCTGCTAGCAGTGTACACTGGTGATGAGCGCCCAGCCAAAGAACCATCCTCCTGTACCTTGCAAAGCGTTGTAGGACTCCAATGGCGGCTACTACAGTCGCATCTGTAATTTAATACTTCTAATTCTTGGTATTAGATTAAGAATGAAAAAGCACGTGGAGAGGAAAGCTCTATTGTTTTGATCAATCCACGGAGAAAATCTGATAGCAGTTAAGGCAGGGGTGGCATCTCCTCCTTCTACAGATGAGTGAACCAGAGAAGCTAAGACAATATCAATCTATGTCTTACAATTTTAAATTACATACATGTGTGTGCGAGCACATGTGTGTGTATGTGTGTGCGCATGTGTGCAGGCTGGTAGGGAGAGTTTTAGCCAGAAGACACAACAAATGCTTCATTGAACTAAATTTAGCTCAGTGCTGGGCCACTTTGGGCTTCTGATGCCCTTAGGACAACAGGCTAAGGCAGGAACAGTGTTAGAGGTGTGGATCCATCTGGACTTTCATTGGGAAAGCGGACTGCTTCTCCACAATGGAGGTAAGGAAGATTATATCTAGGATACAGGAGAGCCTTTAGGACACCTTGGTGTTACCATGTCCTCTGAGTAACAATGAGAAACTACAACAATCCAATACAAGCAGATGGCAAATAGCCCAGAGCCTTTGGGATGAAGGTATTGGTCCTTTCTCCAGGGAAAGAACCAGACCCGCTGCGGTATTTGCTGGGGGTTGAGGAAATAAAGAATAGTAGTAGGGGAAGGTAGTAATAAATACCAGATAAAGTCATGTGACGAGACACAAAAATGAAGCTGTAATTGACATTCATGTTTCTGTACCGTTTTGCTAGGAAACGACTGCATATATGCGCACATGTTAAGCAGACACTCGTGCTTTCTTCCTCTCTTATCATGTAATACATCAATTGAGATATCAGTGGTTAAGTGTACTACAACAGCAACTGAGATATCAGTGGGTAAAGGTTATCAATCTGTATTTTCATATTTAAGTTAGAAGGTGCTCAAAGACTAAGCATTCCTCAAGGTGACTTTGCCAACTATTTTAAGAGAAACGTAACTGTGGTTGTATGTGGGCAAGTTACATCATGCCAGGTAGAATGATAACCGTGTTATTGTCTTCAAGGATGATATATATATATATACATACATATATATGTATGTATACATATATATACATATACATATATATGTATGCATACATACATATACATATATATATGTATGTATGTATATATATGGATGCGATTGGGTGTCAAGTTGAGGAGGAAAGACTTGTGATGGCTAATCTTGGTTGTCAATTTGACACAACCTAGAATCATGTGGGAAGAGGTAATGTCAATTGAAGAACTGCCTTGATTGGATCGGTTTGCGAAAGATTTTTTTGATTGATAATTGATGTGGAGGGGGGCAGCCTACTGTAGGTGGCACCATCCCTACTTAGGCCTGAGCTGTAAAAGAAGGCAAGCTGAGCACGAGCTGATGAGGAAGTCAGACAGCAGTACACCAGTGAGCCACTTTCTACCTAAGCCTCTGTCTCGAGGAAGCAAACCAAACTTTTCTTCCAGTTTGCTTTTGTTCAGTGTTTTAGCACTGAAACAGAGAAGCAAACAACAACGCTCCCTGAGCCTTTGTGCAGGTCCTTAGAACTTCAACCTACACTTTTCTGGCAGGCTAGCTTCCATTTCTTAAGCAGCAGTCAAACTAGCAAACACATTTGCTTCTCCAAATGAAGCCAGTCTTAGTTTTAAAACAAATCCATTTAGTTGTTTAAAAACAGGTGATTTTTAAAAAAATGAGTATTTTTTCCGAGTTTCATATACATTTCAGTTCTTTAAATTGTTCTTTAAGAGAGAAGAGAAAGCCTTTCAAATGATCTCACAGCAGTTCTAGAGATGACCATAATTTTTCATAAAAACCAACACAAACAAGAACAACCGCAGTGAAGCCCCTGGCAAGTCTGGAAAGCACAGCACAAGTGAAGTCCCAGAGGCGTCTCCAGCCCTGCAGCCCCCAACCACTCCCTGGTGGGCAGGCTATCTGGGAAGATCAGGCCATATGCAGAAAGAATAATCCAGTTTTATTCCACACATGAGCTGCATGCAGCTGGGCAGCCACAAGGTCAGTTTGCCAACCTTTGCCCTCTCACTGGCCGCCATCCTCCAGGGGCAGACTGTAGGTGTATGGCGGCACAGTGGTGTCCCCCACAGGGGTACAGTCCGGAGCAGGAGCTATCTATGTGAAGAGACAAAGCCCCGCTGAGGCAGTGTCTAATCTGGAAGGTCTAAAGGGAAATCCAATTTTTAGACAATGAAGAGGTAAGCAATATTTTTTTTCTAAATAAAAGTTAAAGGACTGTTTAACACAAAAATAAGAAAATTCTAAACTTCTTAAAAACTTACACTTTTATGAAAAATTTTACAACTGATGGTACTACCTTGCCACAAAACCTTAAGGATGCCACAAAGAGCATCTAAATAAGTACTAGAGGTAAGGAGGATGGGCGGTATGAGGAGAAGGGAGAATGGGCGATACAAGGGAAAAATAAGTTGTCAATAAGCATCACTTTCACAGAAGAAATTCAGCTGTCTTTTTCACCTGTAAGGAACTAGATGGAGTCTTCTGGGACATGAAGAATTCTAACCTTCCCCCTTTTAGAAAAGGTTTACCTGTAATTCTGTGTAAGTGTGCCTGTGCTGTGTGGGTATATGAGCAGCCAAGTTTGACTGGGAGCTGCTCTGTGGTCCTGTTCTTCCCTGTTCAGCTGCTTTCCACCTTTAAGAAACATTCCTTAGTGTTTAATCCCAGCAAAGGCAGGTGCATCCCTGAAATAGAGGAGAGTCTGGTCTACAGAGCTAGCTCCAGGAAAGCCAGAGTTATACACAGAAACCCTGTCTCAAAAAACCAAAACCCTAAAACCAAACCAAACCAAGGCAAAATGAAACAAACAAAACCCAATCCAACCAACCAAACAAAATGCATTCCTTGCTTATTCTTTTACTTTCCATTGAGGAATGTCTACTCTTTTGAAGCGATTGCAAATTTGACATTTTGTTTGTCTCTTTCAGTCCTGCAGCCATCCCTGCTAAGGATGAGCCCTGGTCGCCCTCCTCTGATTTAGAAACCCACAGGAGGCCTGCTGCTTCATGCCAAAGCAAAAGAGTAACAGAGCAAATGGCACTGGAGTATTACCTTTTATGTAAAACAGAATACATTTCGTAAAAATCAGAAACGAGCACAAATCAGCACGGTTAGTTGTAAAGCAAACTCCTGTTTCTCTCAAAAATTTGGGTTAAATATTCACATAGAGAATTCTTATAAAATCTGTGGTCTCTTTGATAAATCAACTCAGGAAGGGCTTAAACTATTCTGTTACACAGAATAGTATTCTACACGTAGTGAATACGGAGGCTCGTTCCCATTTTCCCAATGTTTGCTTAAAAGATGAGCCATCTCAAACATCGATTCATTGTGCATCTTGATTGAGTCATGAATATTCCCATAATCCTCAACTCATAAACCACCAGCCTCAGTGAATGACGTTCCTTCTCTTTTTTCTTCTCTTCAGATGACTTGACACCCATTCACATTTTAGGTCTCTTTATCCCCACATGAAATGGCACCGTTCCTCTCAGCGCTTTGAGTCTTCTGATACTTGCTCTAAAAGTCCCAAATACAGACTAATCTGTAATTAGGTTTTGAGTACACTGCGACTGCCAAAAGGCCCAACCTGGGAGAGGGTCACTTCAGTGGTTAGTATTAGTTTAGAACATGAACAAAGAGCTACCAACAAAACACTACCTCATGTGCTAAAATAAACCTTAGACAGTGTTTGATGTCTTTAAAGAAAGCATGAAGAAATCAGCTGAAGAACTAACACAATCGCTTTAAAAAACCATACACCCAAAGATTCAAACCACCTAACAGCTACCCTGTAACATGGTGCGCACACACTTTGGATGTGTGGGTGAA